CAGAAAATAACATGATGTTTAACAGTGATAAATTCCAGGTACTCAGGTACGGTAAAAATGAGGACCTTAAACATAATACAGAGTACAAAATACAATCAAATGTACCCATAGTAGAAAAACAGCATGTAAAGGATTTGGGAATAATAATGTCTGACGACCTAACGTTTAAGGAGCATAACCAAGCAAATATTGCGACAGCCAGAAAAATGATAGGATGGATTACGAGAACTTTCAAATCCAGGGATCGCATCACAATGGTTGTACTCTTCAAGTCACTTATGTTGTCCCGTCTTGAGTACTGCTCAGTACTCACTTCCCCCTTCAGAGCAGGAGAGATTGCTGAAATAGAGGGAATACGGAGGACATATACGGCACGCATAGACGCTATAAAGCACCTAAATTATTGGGATCGTCTCAAAGCCCTCCAAATGTACTCACTAGAAAGAAGACGAGAGAGATATCAAATAATATACACCTGGAAGATACTGGAGGGCCAAGTACCAAATCTACACAGTAAAGTAACAACGTACTGGAGTGAACGATATAGAAGAAAATGCAGAATAGAACCAGTGAAGAGCAGAGGTGCCATAGGCACAATCAGAGAACACTGTATAAACATCAGAGGTCCGCGGTTGTTCAACGTCCTCCCAGCAAGCATAAGAAATATTGCCGGAACAACCGTGGACATCTTCAAGAGGAAACTAGATTTATTCCTCCAAGGAGTGCCGGACCAACCGGGCTGTGGTGGGTATGTGGGCCTGCGGGCCGCTCCAAGCAACAGCCTGGTGGACCAAACTCTCACAAGTCAAGCCTGGCCTCGGGCCGGGCTTGGGGAGTAGAACAACTCCCAGAACCCCATCAACCAGGTAGCAAGAGAGGCGTGGGAGGCAAGAGTTGAAGCACCACCAGGGACAGATGTCACCTGCCCCTGGCTGCGGGCAAGTAGTCAGAACCTCTCTATGGGGGCCTTACCAGCCTTGTTCTGCCTCTTGCCTTATAATATAACTGCACTGACATTCGTATTCCTTGTCCAATCTGGCCGCTAGGTTGCGGATGGAGGCGGCTTCTGCAACTTCTTCTTCATCTCGGTGCATTCCACGTGTTGACCATCGTACCCGGTACCAGTAATACCTTGCATGCCTTCCCCTCGACAGAGTCCCTCTTGTTCTGTTTTTTTTTTTTCTCAAATTGAAAAGGTTGTCTTTTCCACCTTGTCTACTCCCCTGATAATCATATATATTGTGATCATATCCCATAGTCTTCATCTCTGGAGTTAGGGTTCCAGTTCTCTTGACCTATACTCAAAGCGTAACAATGTTTGTTCTCACACTATAATTGTGCCAAACTTCTACTTTTATTTTTTTTTATATTTTGTGCTTCACAAGATGGCGATTCCAGACTGGTGCTGCATATTCTAGTATTGGTCTGATATAGATTGCCTTAAATACGTTCTTAATAGGCATTTAAATGCCGTTCTAATGCTTGCCAACTTCCCAATATGTTGTGCATGGCGCTGTGCTTGTCTGCTTCTGGTGTCGGAAATATGCCCACTCAAATATTATCTTTCTTTCAGATTCTTGTAGTTATTTTCCCTTAAAGTTGTAGATATCTCCTGGTTGACTTCTATTTCTTTCGAATCTTCATTACTTTGCACTTTTGGGATTGAACACTAGCAACCAATTGTCTGTCCACAACTGTCGTAGGGGGGGGGGGGAGAGAAGAGGGGGTCTTGACACATCACCCATCACCATGGTGCACGGTATAATAGGCAATAAAGTTTCATTCACATTACACACAGAAATCACAATTGCGTGATGCATCAAATAAACAAATCCACAAGGGGCGTGACGAGGGAAAGCGTCTGGGATGCTCTCGGACGCAAGTTCGAATCCTCGTCACGGCCCTTGTGGATTTGTTTCATTCACATGCTTCTTATAACCGTAGTAAATAAACAAGTATATAGGCCATGGCACGCCGAGTTGAACCACTCTCTAGAACTTCTTGGCTTCCCTTTAGGTTTAGACTAGATATTGTCCGCGTTTCTTAGCTTCGTATAGGACGGCCGGGGCACTGTATCGACGTCTCGCCGGGGTACACGTTCGATCCCCGGAGGTGCTGCTAGGACACAGCTCCTCTGTGTCCCCCCTTGACACACGGTATATATTATTGTGACACAGAGAAGTAGTTTCATCTCGACTTTTGGGACGAATTGGTCTAGTGTGGGAGGTGGGGCGAACTAGACGGGTAAGGCAGTCTGTACAAAGAGGATAGACTGGACAGGTGGGGCAGGCTGGACAGGTGGGCTAGTCAGAACAGGCGGGTCACATTGTTTTAACTAAATCTTATTTCTATTTCTATTAATTTTAGAATGTCGTGAGGGAGGGAGGGAGAGAGTCCGTCTCTCACACTTTTTAGTCTTGCGACTAAATCTATTTCTCTACCTAACCTTCTTCGCCATTCTTGAGATAGGGTGCGGCTCTCAAGTTGTTCCGCGATTCGTTTTCTTCGCGATTCGTTCGTAGAGGCGATTTGGATTTGTGAGGTTTTCCAAGCAGTGTTCTATTTTCTTTAATTGGTCTTTAAACTGCTGGTGATTTGCCTCCGGTGACTTATATACAAGGACAATAACTACATTTAAGATATTTAAATATCTTAAATGTATCTATCTAGATATCTTAAAATATCTATTTTGAGTATCAGCACTTCCACCATATCATTTGAGGTGTTTAGCAGCTCAGTACAGATGAGCGTGTCCTTGATGTAGAGGCTGACCCCACCCTGAAGCCGGTGTTTCCTGTCACATCTGAAAAGATTGTACTCTGAGATCTATATTTCACTATCATGGTAATCGTTTGTGTGAGTTTCCGTTAGGGCTGCAAACATTGCATTTGCCTCATGTAGGAGGCTATCTATGAAGTGCACTTTGTTAGATTTGCGTGTTTTTATATCCTGAATGTTGACAAATAAAAATAATTATATGTTTGTAGAAGTGCTGGATGCTTTACTTGGTGTTAATATCTGAGGCTCTGGTAAGGAGGCCACTGTGTGCGCGTCCTCTCTAGCATATGACCGAGTTGGTGGTAGAGTCTGGACATTTTTAGCCGTTCTTCTCCTCCTCCACTTGCTAAAATATCTACCTGGTAAGTAGTGTTGTGGCTGCTTTCCTCGAAGCGGTTTGTCGGTCTTATTCGCCTGGTGCTCCTTATATGGAAAGCTGGACACTCCATATTGAAGCATTCTTTCCTATCTAAGGAGTTCTTGCAAAGTTCTGGGTGAAAAAATCACAGCTTTCGGTGCATTTACCCGTACTAAGGGAGGGTTCTGTACTTTCTAGGGTACTTAATATTCTATTTGTTCTTTCCGATATCCCATGTTTACAGGGTACAGGTATTCTATTTATAATAGTGACAGGTTTCGGGCCCTTGTTTTCTTTGTTTCCCTTTGCCAGAGACCGCGCTCTGCAATAGCGCCACCGCCGACACAGCGCTCTGCTGTGACACGGCCCCCGACACAGCACTGCTGTGGCGACGCCGAAACTGCACTCTGCACCTCATTTAATTGTACCTGGGTGTCATGGACAATTTGTTTGAAGACATTTAAAATTTCTATGCAGGCATTTATTAGCGATTCTGCGCATTTATTAGTGATGTTCTGCGCAGGAATTTTATCTAGAATTACGATCATCTTCAAGTAATATTATCCTTTGTGCGGAGCCAGTACACAGTGTGTTCTCTGAGACCATTTTTCCTTGCATTATTAGTCATGTTGGCACCTTTATTGTGTGTGACAGCTGGGCAGAGTTGACATTGAAAGCTCTGCTGGTGATCTACCTTCTTGTGGCAGTCTGTGCACGATTTTCACAAAGACATTTTTACTGAACACTTCTGTTCAATGATGGTGTTAAAGTAGTGGACCCGTGGGTGTTGTTTGGTGGGTGTTGTTTGGTGGGTGTTGTTTGGTGGGTGTTGTTTGGTGGGTGTTGTCTGGTGGGTGTTGTCTGGTGGGTGTTGTCTGGTGGGTGTTGTCTGGTGGGTGTTGACTGGTGGGTGTTGTCTGGTGGGTGTTGTCTGGTGGGTGTTGTCTGGTGGGTGTTGTCTGGTGGGTGTTGTCTGGTGGGTGTTGACCGGTGGGTGTTGTCTGGTGGGTGTTGACCGGTGGGTGTTGTCTGGTGGGTGTTGTCTGGTGGGTGTTGTCTGGTGGGTGTTGTCTGGTGGGTGTTGTCTGGTGGGTGTTGTCTGGTGGGTGTTGTCTGGTGGGTGTTGTCTGGTGGGTGTTGTCTGGTGGGTGTTGTCTGGTGGGTGTTGTCTGGTGGGTGTTGTCTGGTGGGTGTTGTCTGGTGGGTGTTGTCTGGTGGGTGTTGTCTGGTGGGTGTTGTCTGGTGGGTGTTGTCTGGTGGGTGTTGTCTGGTGGGTGTTGTCTGGTGGGTGTTGTCTGGTGGGTGTTGTCTGGTGGGTGTTGTCTGGTGGGTGTTGTCTGGTGGGTGTTGTCTGGTGGGTGTTGTCTGGTGGGTGTTGTCTGGTGGGTGTTGTCTGGTGGGTGTTGTCTGGTGGGTGTTGTCTGGTGGGTGTTGTCTGGTGGGTGTTGTCTGGTGGGTGTTGTCTGGTGGGTGTTGTCTGGTGGGTGTTGTCTGGTGGGTGTTGTCTGGTGGGTGTTGTCTGGTGGGTGTTGTCTGGTGGGTGTTGTCCGGTGGGTGTTGTCCGGTGGGTGTTGTCCGGTGGGTGTTGTCCGGTGGGTGTTGTCCGGTGGGTGTTGTCCGGTGGGTGTTGTCCGGTGGGTGTTGTCCGGTGGGTGTTGTCCGGTGGGTGTTGTCCGGTGGGTGTTGACCGGTGGGTGTTGACCGGTGGGTGTTGACCAGTCGGGTACAAAACTAACCTAGTTTTGTACCCCCTAGTTCTAACCTAGTTTGTACACTACACCCCCTAGGGTTAGAGGGTGTAGTGTACAAAACTAACCAAACCTTGACAGTGTAAACTCGTGCTAAAATCAGCAACAACTTTCAGAATCACTCGTAAGCCCTAAATACAAGTTTGAACATTTACAACAAAGAACAAGAAAACATTCCCGCTAAACACAGAGAACATTGTACCGGGGGACACAGTGATGGTTTAGCCAGGCTCGTGAGCGACAGGTCTGGCGCCCCGCCACATTCTGAAGGAAGAACACGCAGGGGCCTATGTGGACGCAGCCCGGACCCGCCTAGTGGAGGGGGTGGCCCACGGCCGGCCTAGTGGAGGGGGTGGCTCAGGACGACTCCACGCGCCTACTTAAAATGTAGAAGTCAGCAGGTGAAACAGCCAGCCAGGCAGGAGCTGAGGTACGCTCTCACCTGCTTGTATCGCCTGCCCGCCTCCCGCCCAAACTCGCCCGCCAAAAAGCCCGCCCGCCCGCCCGCCTGCCTGCCTGAAGTGCGCGCGCGCAGCTTTGGGCCGCAGCAGGCCAGCCATGTGCACCTTAAGACTGTGTCTGGTGCACATGATGTACAACTCCATCAACGTGGTAAGTCACCTGTATGTTTTGTGCCCTTGTGTGGCAGTGCACAATAGAATGCTGATTTTACATATTCACACACAAAAACATGTATACTGTCTAATGTAGTTGATTGTAGCCATGATATATGTGTGCTTCAGCCTACAGTTTAGACCTATTGTCTTGTGTACGACCCTCTGTCCTGCGTGACAGTGAATACCAGCATTATCCTCACTTTAATAAGACTTAATTAAAATCCTTAGATTAGACAAAATTCTAATTAAATTTTGTCAATAAAGATGTTAATAAATAATAAATTATGTAGCTATTGTTTCTGAGTACCCCGGTGCAGTAATGTACCACGGTGCATTACTGCACCTGGAGAGCGTGCAGAGATCCTTTACTGCTAGAATCCACTCAGTAAAACATCTAAACTACTGGGACCGACTAAAGAGCCTAAATCTGTATTCTCTTGACCGCAGGCAGGAGAGATACATAATAGTTTACACGTGTACAATAGTAGAGGGGCTGGTCCCAAACCTGCACACAGAAATAACAGCACATGAGACCAGGAGGCATGGCAGGATGTGCAGAATACCCCTGTTGAAGAGCAGAGGTGCAACAGGTACTCTGACAGAGAACTATCAACATCAGAGGCCCGAGACTGTTCAACACGCTTCCACTACACATAAGGGACATAACTGGCCGACCCCTCACAGTGTTCAAGAGAGAACTTGATAAACACCTCCAAAGGATACCTGATCAACCAGGCTGTGACTCATACGTCAGGCTGCGAGCAGCCGCGTCCAACAGCCTGGTTGACCAGTCCAGCAACGAGGAAGTCTGGTAGAGGACCGGGCCGTGGGGACGTTGAGCCCTGGAACAAATGCAAGGTAACATCAAGGCAAGGGAAGGTAACCACCTCCCTTCAATAAGAAGAAAACTGTGTTAGGTTGTTCGTCTTGCGACTTGCACCCAGACGCCGCTGGGACAGAACTGTCTCATGTGAGCACACTGTCAAGCAAGAGATTAACATCTTACAAGCCACATGTTTACGTTATCTTGCTGGTGCAACGTACAGGAAACTTTGAAGAATAATATATTTGACTAAAGGTGCTTTACCGGCTCAATGTGGGGTTTATAATATTATACACATTTCTAATGTCTCAGACGGACACAGTCTCAGGTAGTGGGGCCCAACCACTTCGGCTGGACGGTAGAGTGACGGTCTACCGTCGTTGTATGGTAGTGGGTGGCAGTGAAGCACTGGGTCACCACCAGTGGAGGAAGCAAGGCGGGTGGGAGCCGCACGGAGCCAGAGGTATTTCGGTGGGGCTCGGCCACCACCAGCTAAGTATAGCTGGCCAAGGTAGGCTAAAGCCGCAAAGCAACAGCAGGCGAAGAGGTTGAGCGTGACTCCTGTGAGGGGTAGCAGGTGTGGCAGGGGTGTTGGGAGTCCTGTACCATTCTGTAATTGTCATTTTTTTTCTCCACTACAATCGTAGGATTACAACTCCTATAGCCACTAGATGGGGCCATCTGTTAGCTATAGGAGTCAATATATGAGAGCCAACTCTCCTATGACCATCCATTCCCCCCGTTATGTTGGACTGTTCGGCAGAAAGCTATCAAGATCAAAGAGGAAGGTGGTGATTGCGTGAGGAAAGGCAAGAAACCTTGTACCTCTTTCAGCAGTATTCTCAACCATAAGCGAATCCTGCACAATCACCACAATCCCAAATCCTCCTGGAGAGGTGATTTCGTTGGCAGCGAATTCGCCATCACATTTATTTGCAAGTTTACGGTATTTATGAGTCGGAGGCAATTGTTAATAAATATGGAGAAGGTTACATAAAGTCCAGGATTATGTGAACCCTTGACTCTCTCCCGTCACCACCTTCACGCCACCCAATTATAACATTACTACTCTTATTATTATTATTATTATTATTATTATTATTATTACATGTTGATGTAAGGATGAATGTGTGAAATCTTTTATGTTACGTAATAGTATTAGAAGTCAATAGCAAGGTTTGTGTGGTGTACCACCACGTGTAGTAGCTACTGTTGCTACTGTCATTTCTACTGTTACTTCTACTGTTGTTATTGTTACTTCTACTGTTGCTACTGTTACTTCTACTGTTGCTACTGTTACTTCTACTGTTGCTACTGTTACTTCTACTGTTGCTACTGTTCTACTGTTGCTACTGTTACTTCTACTGTTACTTCTACTGGTACGTCTACTGTTGCTACTGTTACTTCTACTGTTGCTACTGTTACTACTACTGTTACTAACACTGGTGTTGGTAGTGTGTGAGGTGAAGGGAGGGGACTAAGAGATGTGCTCGGCCACACAGGTGATAGCGCTGGTGTGCGGGATCATCACAGCCTTCCTCATGGTGCTGGCGCTGGCCTCCTCTGACTGGCTGCTGGCTGTGGGCTGGCGCCAGGGGCTCTTTGAGCACTGCGTCGAGCCCGGAGCCCCCAAGCCCCTGCCCTTCCAGATACACGCCGAGGCTGGCTGTCACACCGCCAGGGATGAACGTGAGTGTTGCTTTATTTTGTCGTTCTCTTCGCCTGCCGCTACGGACAAAATATGGGGTAGTATGGAAAGATGCGAACTAATGCCACCAACTTAACCTGGAAAATGTGGATGTTTCTGGTCCGCTACTTGTCCTAGTACCCTGTATTTTGTCCGTTGGGGATCATAGCGTGCAAAATGCTGTGTATTCGTGGAGAAGACGGGTTATTTATTTATTTTACAGTATATATAACTGTTTGGTGGAGCGTGCCAGTGACAGTGTGAACTGTTGGGCCTCAAATGTTCACGTGTTGTACATTTTGCAGAGTACCAGAGACGCCTGGTGGTACCACTGAGATCTCCCGTGGTAACAAAGCCCTCCCACTCGACCCTTTCTAAATCTAATGAAATTTTGTAATAAAGTAGCCAGTTCTGCTTACCAAAAATGGCCCACTAGATACTCAGATTAGTCGCTCAGATTACACTTTATTAGTGGAATAAAGTAACCCTAGACCCCAAATGAAAATGTGCAAAATATTTTAGCTTAATCTGCTTTGGTTCTTAAATAACAGGTCCATATTGAATGGGCTCTCGTCCCGATAATGCCTAAATACTACAAAAATTATTAACTTTAAACCTCTGTTAAATCACGACTAGAGCCCAGAGAGGTGTGAAATTTAACATACCAGGGCAACTTTTAGTGCGGGATACAGCAGTGTAATCAAAAATGTAGTTTGGGTAGCCATTCAGCTACCAATCCATGCTAATATCACTGCCAATATATCTCAAAATATCTCAATATGCGTCATTCCCAATTTGGTTTTGAATGACATGAATGGCATTTTTGAATGACGTGTAGATGGTAGATGTCATTCAATGTTTTTGAATGACGTGTAGAGGACATATACCACTAAGAAACATGTTGACGACATATACCACTAAGAAACATGTTGACGACATATACCACTAAGAAACATGTTGACGACATATACCACTAAGAAACATGTTGACGACATATACCACTAAGAAACATGTTGACGACATATACCACTAAGAAACATGTTGACGACATATACCACTAAGAAACATGTTGACGACATATACCACTAAGAAACATGTTGACGACATATACCACTAAGAAAAAGAGAGAAAAAGATGCAAACTGGAGCGAGAACGACGGTCCCTCTATAGGCGAAGAAAACCAACAGCAGAGCATCACAAACACTCCACTATCCCACCACCAGCGACCTGGAAGGCTGTGTAGGGAAATAGAAATGATCGGTTTTGAAGCTGAGAGAATCTTATAAAACCCAAGAGAGGTAAAGGGAGCAAAAGGCCATAAGTGAAATAGAGAGGAACTCGAAATACTTTTTCTCCTATGCTAAAACAAGAACAGAAACTGCATCCAGCATTGAGCTCTTGCGTAAGAATGATGGTACTTTCACAGATGACAACAAATTAATAAGTGAAATATTCAGGCTTCAGTATGACTGTTTTCAGTGAACCTCTGAACACATTGATGATCGATGATCCAAATGAATTCTTCATGAATGTGACACCAACATCGAACCCTGTATCAGATGTCACCCTAACCCCACTGGACTGAGGTAGCCATAGACAGCCTGCCCATGCACTCTGCCCCAGGCCCACACTCCTGGAATACTATATTCATCAAGAAGTGCAAAACACCACTATCACAGGCCCTAAACATCTTTTGGAGACGGAGCCTGGATACTGAGCCTAAGGGAGACGGTGGCTGAGCAGACAGAACACTGTACGCGTGATACTGTGGTTCCGGAATTACTGACAAAGTAGGGAGATGGATCTTCAACTTGCTAACGAACAGAACGGTGAGTGTAATAGTCAACACTGTAAAATCCCGATCTACTGTGAAAAGCTCAGTCCCCCCCCCCCCCCCGGGTACTGTGCTTGCTCCGGTACTTTTTCTCACCCTAATATCAGCCATAGACAAGGATACAAACTACAGCACTGTATCATCATTTGCAGATGACACTAAGATTTTCATGAGAGTAGACAATATAGAGGACACGGCAAACCTCCAATCTGATGTTAATCACGTCTTTCAATGGGCCACAGAAAATAAGATGACGTTTAATGAAAATAAGTTCCAGCTCCTGCGCTATGGAAAAAAATAACATAAAATTGGAAACCATACATAAAACGGAATCGAATCACAATATAGAAAGAAAAAGCAAAGTAAAGGATCTAGGAGTAATCATGTCAGAACACCTTACCTTTACAGAACACAATAAAGTAGCTGTCACGACTGCAAGAAAAATGACAGGTTAGATAACAAGACCTTCCAAACAAGGGATGCCATACCAATGATGATACTTTTTAAGACACTAGTGCTCTCTAGGGTGGAATATTGTTGCTCACTAACAGCCCCATTCAGAGCAGGAGAAATTGCTGGCCTTGAGAGCGTGCAAAGATCCTTTACCAATAGATTCCATTCTATAAGTCATCTTGATTAATGGGACCGATTAAATGTTATAAATCTGTATTCTCTAGAGCGCAGGCGAGAGAGATACATAATAATCTACACGTGGAAGATATTAGAGGAGCTGGTCCCAAACCTGCACACAGAAATACCACCATATGAGACCAGAAGACATGGCAGGATGTGCAGAATACCCCCGTTGAAAAGCAGAGATGCAACAGGTACTCTGAGAGAGAACTATCAACATCAGAGGCCCGAGACTGTTCAACACGCTTCCACTACACATAAGGGCCATAACTGGCCGACCCCTCACAGTGTTCAAGAGAGAACTGGATAAACACCTCCAAAGGATACCTGATCAACCAGGCTGTGACTCATACGTCAGGCTGCGAGCAGTCGCATCCAACAGCCTGGTTAACCAGACGACCAGCCGGGAAGCCTGGTCGGAGACCGGGCCGTGGGGCTGTTGATCCCTGGAAGCTACACATTATAGAGCCGTCTCACTGACAAGCGTCGTGGTCAAAACACCAAAACAAAGTAGGTAAACCACATGGACAGAACACCTGGAGATAAATTATATAACAGCATGGCGCTCGAACAGGAAGATCGTGTGTAACAAATATATTTAGTTTTATGATAAAGCCTCAGAGATTCTACAGGGGAGAGATGGTTGGGTTGACTCTTTTTTTTATCTGGACTTAAAAAAAAAATGACAGTTCTAAGTGGGCCTGCGGGCCGCTCCAAGCAACAGCCTGGTGGACCAAACTCTCACAAGTCAAGCCTGGCCTCGGGCCGGGCTTGGGGAGTAGAACAACTCCCAGAACACCATCAACCAGGTTCAACACAAGAGGTTGTTTTGGAAACTGTAACATTCTGGAGGAGTGACAGGCAGGCTGCTGACTAAAAAAAAATTCTAACTGACAGACAGATGAGACAGATGTATCACATATATAATATACAGATGTAATCGGAGACAATGTGTCTGGAGGAGTGTTACTAGCGGAATACTAGCGGAATATTATCTAGCAGTAAATAGGTACCTTGGAGTTAGTCAGCTGTCACGGGCTGCTTCCTGAGGTGTGTGTGTGTGGTGTGGAATAAAAGTAGTTAGTAAACAGTTGATTGACAGTTGAGAGGCGGGCCGAAAGAGCAAAGGTCAACCCCCGCAAACACAACTAGGTGAATACACACACACCACACACACACACACACACACACACACACACACACACACACACACACACACACACACACACACACACACACCACACACACACACACACACATGGCAAGTCCTGCCTCACAGGATTAATTGAATTCTACGACTAGGCAACAAAAAATCAGGCAAGAAAGAGAAGGGTGGGCAGACTGCATATTTTTGGATTGCCAGAAAGTCTTTGACACAGTGCCACACAAGAGGCTAATGAAAAAGCTGGAGATGCAGGCAGGAGTGAAAGGGAAGGTACTCCATTGGATAAGGGAGTACCTAAGCAGCAGAAGACAGCGAGTACCTAGTACCAGTACGTAAGCAACAGAAGACAGCGAGTCACTGTGTGGTGAGGTCTCAGATTGGCGAGGCGTCACCAGTGGAGTCCGGCAGGGTTCAGTCCGTGGACCTATACTGTTTCTGATATATGTAAATGATCTCCCAGAGGGTATAGAATAGTTCCTCTCATTGTTTGCTGATGATGTAAAAATTATGAGGAGGATTAAAACAGAGGATGATAGTAGGAGGCTACAAGATGACCTAGACAGACTGAATGAATGGTCCAACAAATGGCTACTAAAGTTCAACCCGAGTAAATGTAATGTCATGAAATTAGGCGGTGGAAACAGGCGGACAGACACAGAATGGGAGATGAAGTCCTTCATGAAACTGACAGAGCTAGAAGTTGATATCACACCAAACCTGTCTCCTGAAGCCCACATAAAAAGAATTACCTCTGCGGCATATGCGAGGCTGGCTAACATCAGAACAGCCTTCAGGAACATGTGTAAGGAATCATTCAGAACCCTTGTATACCACATATGTAAGACCAATCCTGGAGTATGCGGCCCCAGCATGGAGCCCGTACCTTGTCAAGCACAAGACGAAGCTGGAAAAAGTTCAGAGGTATGCCACTAGGCTAGTCCCAGAACTAAGAGGCATGAGTTACGAGGAAAGGCTGCGTGAGATTGACAGTTGGAGGCCTGGTCGACGACCGGGCCGCGGGGACGCTAAGCCCCGGAAGCACCTCAGGGTAACCTCAAGGAGATGCACCTTACGACACTGGAAGACAGAAGAGTAAGGGGAGACATGATCACTACCTACAAAATTCTCGGGGGAATTGACAGGGTAGATAAGGATAAACTTTTTAACACGGGTGTATGCGAACAAGGGAACATGGGGAGACTTGAGTACTCAAATGAGCCACAGGGACGTTAGAAAACTTTTTCAGTCTCTGAGTAGTTAACAGGTGGAATGCATTAGGCAGTGATGTGGTGGAGGCTGACTCCATACACAGTTTTAAATGTAGATATGATAGAGCCCAGTAGACTCAGGAATCTGTACACCAGTTGATT